TTTAAAATGAAGCTGTATAGAAACGGAGAACAAATATTTCAATGCATCATATAAAACATAAAAAATAGTTATTAGGAAACAACATTCTTGATGAATAGCATTTACTCTTACCGATACTAAAATCCACCTAGCTACCACCATCAAGCAAAATGTAAATTAATATAAAGATTGAACATAAAAACCACCACTGTCAACTCCCATGAATTTGTAGCCTATGTAAACGAAAATCTAGATTACTCTAAATTAATATTGAACTAAAAAACTTACAGATCCTAAGACTAGTGGGTATGAGCCGTTAAAAGGTGCCGGAAGTCCTATGTGGCATGCCTTAACGCCGTTAAGAACAAATGAACATAACCTGAGTTTCATGTTATATTAAGGTATGTTGGTGTCATAATATATTGAAACGGCTACCATTATTGGTTGTACATAATCTCTCTCTCTCTCTCTCTCTCTCTCTCTCTCTCTCATAACACCATATTATAACATGCAAACATCGTCCCCACTTCATGTTATAACATTTTCTTAACACCATATTATAACATGTGAACATCGCCCCCACTTTATGTTATAACATGTTGGAATGTGAGATGCCAATGTTTGATATTATAACATCCAATCCTCAGCGAACCCATATCTTGCAGCTTAAACGAAAATCATAAAATGTCAAAAGTGAAGATAGTGTTCATGAGAAAATATGTTTTTGCTGCTATAAAATTGATACGAAACCCTAATCCTCTTAAACAAACATAAATATACTAAATTAATAATTTAATTTTTGGGTTTTCGATACCTGAAATATCTGAAATATTAGAAAATGCTCTCCAAATTTGAATCCAAAAATTCGAATATTCGAATTTTAGGATAATTTCAATCGGATTTTGGATATGGATATTTTTAAACACTATTTTTTTAATATCACTTTGTCGAACGCTTATTTATATAAGGTTTTGACAATGTGTAAACTAATCCATTTAATAATAAAAAATCGTATCGGTGATCAGTAAACTAAACCATTTTTGATGTGTCTGTGGGTGAACCCCTGGAAACGCCATCGAGGCCTCTACTAAATCAGCATCCGCAAATCCATTACAATCAATCCACTGTGTGCACCATGGCTGCTCTCACCTTTGCTCACCACATCCTTTTCTCCAAACCCTCTGTCTTCCTTCATTCAACCAAAAATGGTTTCAACACCTTATTTTCCGTCTCCGTCCCCGCACCTTTCCTTCGCCGATACAAATCCTCACAGACAATAGCAGCAGCTTCTTCACTCCTTGAACTTGGTGGAGTTAAAATTTCGAAAGAAGGTATTCTAATCTAACCCCTCCTCATTCAATATTTTGGTACTCTTTATTTTTTTTCTGCTTTCTAGGGCATATCATGTGCTGTGTAATTCACCATATCTTAGCTCAATGAATGCTTTCGTTTTGATTTGTTAAATTTCACATACACGTTGATTCAGGCGGATTGTATTGTTTCGATTGTGGAAAACTGAAGATTTCTTGTTTTAGTAGGTGTTTGGATTTGAGGTTTTAAAGTTTCAAGTGATGTTTGATAGTCTGATAATCGGTTGAAATACAATGTTGATAGTGCTTGGATGTGTTTTTTACTCATAAAATCGTACTTATAACTTTATAAATGTACCTTCATTTCTTTTTTCTTCCACCTCTTTCTCATATAGCACTGATTAAATGGTATATTATCAAGTCATAGCTTTGGAGTTATAAATCTATTTATGCTTTTCACTGTGTGATACAGATGTGGTTAAAGATGAACCAACAAATAATGTCCCTGATTTGATATTCACTAAACTTGGATTGCAACTTCATAGAAGAGATCATCATCCTCTTGGAATCTTAAAGAATGCAATATACGAGTATTTTGACACCAACTATAACAATCAGTTTCATAAGTTTGATGATCTCTGCCCCATTGTTACTACAAAAGAGGTAACAACTTTTTATGTGCATCTCCAGTTTTAATTATTTTGATTGTCTTTGTGTCAAGAAAGTTCATCTACGTTCCTATTTATAGTTCTGACTCTTTATTTTGTTACAAAATACTCATGACTATGCTATGAATGCCTATTTAGAACTTTAACTACAAGTACATTGCTAGCTCTTGCATTTATCCCATATTTTTAATCATATCAACACCTATTTTCCCATAAATTTCTGCATACTTTTTAACATAATGGAATATCATTGATGAAATCTTTATTAATGCAGAACTTTGATGATGTGTTGGTGCCTTCTGATCATGTTAGTAGGAGTTACAATGATACATATTACATTGATACAGAAACAGTGCTGAGGTGTCACACAAGTGCACATCAGGCTGATTTACTGAGAAAAGGGTATGCAAATTTTCTTGTTACTGGTGATGTTTATCGTAGAGACTCCATTGATTCAACTCATTACCCTGTATTCCATCAGGTATCTCATTTTTCTATAAAGCAACTATATAATTAGTAAACAGGGTGTTACTTTGGGTAGTGATTCTGTATATGTATATGAGAATGTGTAGATGGAAGGAGTTAGAGTCTTTAGTCCAAATGATTGGAATGATTCTGGAATGGATGCTACTTTATATGCTGCACATGATCTAAAAGCATGCCTCGAGGGTTTAGCACGCCACCTTTTTGGTAACAAGTTAAATTCATAATCCAAATGAAATATAAATATATTATATTCTTTTGTAAAATGATATAAAAGTAACTAAAAGAGTGAACATCTACTCATGAGGTGAATGTAGTATGCTTTTTAGTAAAAAATGAAATATGGTTTTTGGAATTGAAGTCCGTTTAAATATTCAGGTGCTGTTGAAATGCGATGGGTTGACTCTTATTTTCCATTTACGAATCCATCTTTTGAACTCGAGATATATTTCCAGGTATGCCATTTTTTTTAAAACAAATTTATTAAGAGTAAATTACACGAATGGTCCCTATGGTTTTAGTTAATTTGCGCGTTTGGTCCCTAACTTATTTTTTTAACTCGGAAGGTTCCTACTATTTGTTTTTGTTATGCGCTTGGTCCTTATTGTTTGTTTTTGTTACGCATTTGGTCCCTGTCTTACCTAAAAGATTATAACTCCCTCCGTCCCAATATTATTGTCCATATTATTGTCACAGACAAAAAAAACACACAGATTAAGAAAAGCATTAATTGTCACTAACTTTATATAATAAAATGACAGTTTTGTCCTTACTTTGCATTTAATGTTCCATTAAATGCTTAGTTGGTTAAGTAATAATAAGGGGGTATTTTGGTAAAAATGTTATTTATTTATAGAAGTGGACTATTATTTTGGGACAAACCAAAAAGGAAAGATGGATTATAATTTTGGGACGGAGGGAGTATTTAAATAGGGAAAAATGGTGGGGTAGGTAAGGTAAGGTGAGGGGGTGGGGTTGGGGGCGTGTTTATTTAAATAAATTAAAAAATCAAGGGCAAAATAGTCTTTTTAGGTAAGAACGGGACCAAGCGCGTATTAAAAACAAATAGTAGGGACCTTCCGAGTTAAAAAAATAAGTTAGGGACCAGACATGCAAATTACCCTAAACCATAGGGACCATTCGTGTAATTTACTCATTTATTAATGATTGAATGATAATTTATAGGAGAAGTGGTTGGAGGTTCTTGGATGTGGGGTAATGGAGCAAGAAATATTGAAAAGAGGTGGGAAAAGTGATAATGTGGCTTGGGCATTTGGGCTTGGATTGGAAAGATTAGCCATGGTCTTATTTGACATTCCAGATATTAGACTCTTTTGGTCAACCGATAAGCGATTCACATCTCAAGTAATTTTAAATTTTACTACTTCTTGAATCATCTAATTTTGTCTTTTTGTTGTTTTTTAGATGGATGGATTGTCAAGGCGTGTTTGGTTCGTGGGATGGAATTGGAATACAATACGGGATTCCATTCCGTTGATTGTTTGGTTACGAAAAGGACGGAATTCAATTCAATTATGTTGGGATTCCATTCCTTCTAAAAACATTCCAAGAACCAAACACCTCAACTTTTGAAGAATAAAAAATGGAAAATATCCTTTATATTTAGTTATTTACCTTTCATGATTATATAGTAATATACATAGAAGAACCTAATGGGATTTTCATGATCTCCCCCCTTTACCAATGCAGTTTACAAAAGGTCAACTTGGGATAAAATTCAAGCCATTCTCAAAGGTTTCTGCTTCACTTAATTTTCTTTTAGCAATATATGCAACAATCTTCCATTTTAACACTTATTATTATTATTATTTTCAGTATCCACCTTGTTATAAAGACATGAGTTTCTGGATCAACGATTCGTTCACTGAAAACAATCTGTGTGAAATTGTTCGAGGTGTTGCTGGTGATCTCGCAGAGGAGGTATAAGTTTTTTATTTATTTAATTATTTAAGCAAAATTATTTATCTAAAATGATTTTCCATATTTGTTGGAATTATTGAACATTCATTTAGGTGCAATTGATTGACAATTTCACCAACAAGAAAGGAATGACAAGTCATTGCTATCGGATCACTTATCGCTCCATGGAGCGTTCTCTTACAGATGAGGAAATAAACGAGTTACAGGTATATCAATTTCTTTATTATAGCATACTACCTTTATTTTTTATTTTTATTTTTTTCTATTACATCATTAAACTATGCAAAATAATCTACCCAAATAAGAAAAAAAGTTGGAAGTATAATTTTGCCTTTTATTTTTGGATGTTGATGTAGTGGAATGTTCGAGATCAAGTCCAAAGCCAGATGAACATCGTTCTAAGATGATTTCCAATATGCCAAATGGAATTTTGTGAATACCTTCTATTTATGTTTTTATTTATTAATGAAGACATTCATATGTTGCATTATTACTTCTAATTTCAACATATGTAACCCTAGTTTTTTGTTTTTATCATATGATAATAAAATAAACTACAACTTTTCTTACATACAACAATTTGAATGATCTTTATGTATAATCCAATACACTTATTTTTATTCATGTTATATAAAAAAAATGAAATTATACAAAAAAAACTTGGCCAACATTCAAAAGGCTCTCATGAGGAACATTAAAAATAACACTATTTTCCCTACATATCTTTCTCAAAAAAGCATACAAATAATCAATACAAATCTTCTTATAACACCCCGAATCTCTTCTCGCCTTCACAACTGTATTCCCCAAAATATGCACAACTCCGGCATCGCGACACCGCGTCAAAAACTCAATCTCTTCCCGCCCACCACCACCGTGACTCGACGCCGTCTCCGTCTCCGTCCCCGTCTCACTCACCGTATCATCATCGGAAATTAAAATATCAACAACAGACGAAAACGTATTCTTATCAGATAAACCCGAAACATCTTGCTCATACAAACTGTATTCATCTGAATCCGAACTCCCATCCATCAACGACTCAAGTTTCACAAACAAAAAGATACTATCCAGCAACTTCTTCTCAAATTCATCGTCCTTTTTCTGATCTTTATACCCATACCTCGCGACACACCGGAAAATATGGTAGTTCTTCGGTCCGATCCGTTTGACCAAAAACCGTTCGTCTTCCGGGACGGAATAAACCGGGAGAGATTTAACGCAGACGAAAACAACCACCGTATGGATCGCCGGAAGATTCGTGATGAAATGTGAGAAGATCCGTGGGACGCCGCTTGCGAGTTCGGTGTACACGAGTCCGATTCCGGGGACGCGAACTAGCCCTAGACTTGGGCCGAGGTTAAGGATCCATCCCATTGAGATTTTGTTTTGCATTTCGAATTCGTACCTTTTGACTGTGCCGTAGTGCCAGACGTACATTATGAGGAGGAACACGGCGGCGATTGCTAGTGGGACCCATGCGCCTTGGTCGATTTTGATCAGGACTGCTGAGAAATAGGTGCATTCGACTATGAGGGATAGAAAGGTCATTATGAAGACGAGGAACCAGTTGCAGTGCCACACCAGGAGCATGATTAGGATCATCAGGAATGTTGTTACTAGCATCACTATTACTACTGCTGTGCCTGTTAACAAAGAGAATCGAATAGTATAAGAGGGCATTAATGTCTTTTGGGCGTAAAGTGTAAACTTTTTTTGTCATGTTGATATATGATGAGGATATGAGTATCATGGGAGATTAAATAATTGTAGAAACTTTTTATGGATATTGTTGTTGAGATACGAGGGCATTTATGCGTTTTGTGTAAAAGGGATTGAGACGATTTTTGGATGGTATAAAAAATTACAAATTTTGTCATATTGATGTCAATTTCAATATATTTATTATTTTTATGTCTTTTTCATATACAAAACCAAATTATTTTCCAACATTTTGGATAGGACAAAAGTAACCCCAACTTTCCAAGATTATTTTTAAAGATAATGATAAGAGGACATTTAGGTGTCTTTTATGCAGACAAAGATCTCTCCCATCTTTTTTTGGTTGGACAAAAATTGAAATTCCCGACTTTTTGGATGGGTTCCCAAAAGTGCAAATTTTGTACTAGTGACATCAAACTCATTTTCAGACTAAATCAAACGCAGTACAAACTGTTATTTTCATGATTGATTATAAATTATTGCAATAAAACTTACCATAAGCATTACCGATTTGGGTTTGATTTTTGAAACCAGTTGTTACAAGAATGCACAGAATCATGAGTGCCCAATTGATATCCGGAATGTAAATCTGGCCAAGAAATTTTCTTGATGTATGAACGACTTTGACTCGAGGGAAACAACCAAGTGCACATGCTTGATTAATTATCGAAAATGTAGCAGATATTGACGCCTGACTTGCGACAATTGCAGATAGTGTTGCAATTACAAACATTGGCCAGTATATAGCTTCTGCAACATTTTAAGCAATGTATATTATTATTACTTCAGTATTTGAACGTCATTTATAAGAAATTTTGCAAGGTCATTTACAATGGAAGTAGGAAGCTATAATGCACAAATAAATGAAGATATATTGCTAAAACTTTCATTTAACCCTTTACTTTTTCCTTCCAATTTTTATGTTCTGGAATATTTTTTAATCATTATTTAAAAAACAAACCTGGAATAGAGTGGTAAAATGCATCAAACACTTGTTCCTTGTTTTTCATGAGGTAGGCTGCTTGTCCACAATAAGCTAATAGAAGACAAGGGAACACAACCGTTGTAAATGCAATCTGGATTGCAGAAAGTGGATAATGAGCAAGATCAGCAAATAGTGCCTCCGTCCCTATCACAAAATAGCAACACATACTATAGTTTGGTACATTTAAAAAAATACAATGTTTTAATAGACAGAGAGAGGAATCACCTGTTATGCTCAACATGATTCCTCCGAGGGAAGTCCAACCATCTTTTCCTCTCCTTTTAAAGTACCAATATATATGCAAAGGGGAAAAGGCCCTCAATACAGTCTTGTCATGTTTTAAAATATTATAAATTCCAATTCCTCCAATTAAAATAAACCAAAGCAATACAATTGGAGCAAATAGCCATCCAACTTTATCAGGACCATGATGTTGTAGGCAAAATAAACCAATCAGTATAAAAACAGCAACAACCACGATAAAATCTGCAACAAACAACAACTCATAAGCATATTATATGCAATACTTACATTAAAGATTAAGTGAGAATAACAAATTTAAGATGAAATTATTTTCATACCATTATCCATCCCGGGGTGTGTTACCTTGATGCCACTAGAAGCCGATAAAACTGTTCAAATCACAAGGTTCGATTCAAGACACAGTCTTTTTGTATACAACACTTTAACAATATTCTTTAATTTTAACACGAGAGGAAAAAAGAAGGGGCACAATTCACAAATAGGTAAAGGGTTAGTGTCTTAATACATTAAGCCATGTTTTTTTTTTTTAAATCATTCTGTTCAACTTAAATAAAAAAGAAACAACCATGTATAATTGTTTGGATTAAATGCTTAACCCATTAAGCTCATGAAGGAAAAAATAATGGCACATAAAAAAACCAAGTTTTTACCTGAAATAGCAGGAGTTAGAATCCCATCTCCAATCACCATACAAGTGCCAACAAGTACAAGTACAAGAAGTGCATTCTTCTTTAATGCATGTGCTTCTAAACATTTCTTGGTTTTTTCAGGAAATGAGTTCTCATGTGTTGGGGTATAAATATAAGTAGTCAACTTTTCATCAGTCCGATGTTGATTTGGAATTGTACTAATTTTTGCATGTCGACACAATAGTGAGTAAAGAGCAAATGTTCCACCTAAATAACGAATTCAAATTTCGTACATGTTATTCATTCGTTAAATATAACTTTAGAATTACTTCTATCTCTTGTTGTTTTACAAGTATATAATGGAAAATAGAGAAGGGAAAATTTATTTGAAAAGCAATGTACCTTACTCTCACTACCAATATGAGCAATATACCTTATTTTTTTAAAATCAAAATAGCAATATATTTAGATCTTTTACACATAATAGCAACATACTTATACATTTCTTTATTGATAATAGCAATGTACTTAATCTTTTACTGATACTAGCAACATAAGCACATTGTTATTATGTGTATAGAATTGTAAGTACATTGCTATAATATGTAAAGAAATGGAAGTAAATTGCATATTGCTATTATCAGTAAGTTGCTATTTTAAAGAAGTAGGTGTACCTTGACCATTGTCACTAGCACGACAAACAATGAAGACATATTTGATGAGGGGCACAAGTGTAAGAGAGTATATGATTAAAGAAAGTGCACCAACAACGTCTTCAGTGTCATTGATTCCTTTAGGAAAAGTATTGTAAAATACATATAATGGAGAAGTTCCCAAATCTCCATAGACAACACCAAGACTTTGAAATGCAAGTCGCACAAGTAGCAATGTGGAACATTTCTGTATCAAAGGATAATATCAATAAGGGAAAATTGCAGAAAGTAGCAACATACTTTACTCTTTTTACCAATATAAGTAATGTAATTTATTTTCTTTACCCATAATAGCTTTGTCTTTACACCTTTTTTTGTACCAAAAATAACAATATGTAAAATCCATACTAGAACATATTCATCTTTTTTTACACGTAATCCCAACCTACTTACAATTCTTTACCCAATGTCCTATAACAAAGACAAATAATGTGTCAAATATAAATTATTGATTAGTTTTTAAAATGTGTCAAATGTCCTATAACAAAGACAAATAATGGCACAAATGCACAATCAATGCTATAAATATTTTGTAAAGATTACATTGGGGCTAAGAAGAAAGAGTTACCGATTCTGTGTTCATATGCTTAAGTCTGCTAGCTTCTTCATCCATGGGCGGATCAAATTTTTGCTGCAAAGCCCACATGCCACCTTTAACTTCACTCTCCTCATTCATGGACTTTTCCATCTCAATCAAATTCAGGCTGCCTGCACTTGCAACAACCTATGTGGCTTCCCTCTAAAGTGATCGACAATAGACAACATCATCAACTCAAAAACAATTTAATCGAACTGAGCTCCAATTTCTCATTCAATCAAATTGACTACAATCAACAAAATGGAACTCAATTTCATCACTATCTGAAGTGAGATCAATCAACTCTTTCATTAGAAAAAAGGAACAAAACACGTTCCTTCAAGAAGATCCGAATTTTCTGATCTAAAATCGAAAAAGCATCCAGGACATCTCAAATTGGACCTGAATGGATAACAATGAAGAAGAATTACAAAGATAGAATTGTACGTCGTGTCGACAATGAAGAAGAACACAAAAAGCAAAGAAAATGGAGGGAATCAACACGATTTTTGATAATTGCGAGTTTAATTTGAATTTGGGATTGATGCAGAAACGATTGTGTTAATCAGGAGATAGTTTAACATTTGACAGACCAAGAAAACCTGTTTGTCTCTCAAGAACGCCTTGATTACTCAGAGAGAAGAATTCGACAACAGTCACCAAGAGAGATGGAAGCGATCGGTTTGAATTTTTGATAATCATGAAAATTTTCATGCGACGCGTTCCATCAATCTCATGCAAATCTATGCATGTTCTTTTTCAAAATAAACATAATATCTTTTAGAGTAAAATATTGTCTTGGTCCATGTGGTTGTCCAGTTTTAACATTTTTGGCTTTTTATTTGGGATTTTAACACCACTAGTCCTTATTGGAGGTTTGGGTAAAAATCAAGTATTTGTCTCAGTTAGGCTCCGTTAAACCTTTCTAATTGCGATATAAAAAGTTGAATTTTCCCTTACTCTTGAAAGCCTTATACCCGACATAAACCTCATAAAGGCAAAATCACATCCTTGACACTTGACGTAAATCCCAATGATTTCTTCCTCGGCTACCACGATTTCTTCCTCAGCTACCACTGTCAGCTCCAACTCTAAGAATACTTCAAATAGAAATAAATTGGGTGTTAGGAGAGGTGGTTTTGCATTCTGTACGTATGGCACCTGATGTAACTACTTCCGGTTAGGTTAACATGATAGGATGGTCTTAATGAAGTGGTTGATAGTAAAGGTCCTAGTGAAGTGATTCATAATAGTCTTAAAAATGAGGTACAAAATGGACTTAATGAAGATAGTCAAGTGGTACATGATGGGCTTAATGAAGATGAGGACGTTGGTGAAGGGGAAGGTGATGATGCAGATGAGGGTCTTAATGTGGTAAGTCATGTTCTTAATAATGATGAGGGTGTACATGCACAACTTGAGTTTAATGAGGGTGATTATAATGATGTCTATACATGATAAGTCCTGGCACATGTTGATGAGTTAGTTATGATACTAGAGGCATGGTATACTATGGTAGCAATAGAAAGTATGCTTGTGTACAACTTGAACCGGATCACACACCACCAAATAAGTTAGGTAAATTTTAAGTCCTTGTAGATGTGTAAATTAATTTTACAAAAGTCTGTTTTGTCCACTAATTTGGTAACGTACCAAATATCAAGACCAAAAATTTTAATTTTTAGATTAATGAAACCATCTTTCAAAACATGTCCACGTAACCATAATAGAATTAAAGTGTAATCAAAACATCCAAATGCATCAGTGTCAAATAAAATGCAGAACAATGTGGTGTGTGCGTTGTGAGCTCTTCCCCTTGGATCCGAAAGTACCTGAAACATAAACTAAAATTGTAAGCACGAAGTTTAGTGAGTTCCTCAAGATACCACATACTATACATATTAAACACATAATGGGCCCCATTCGGCATCGAGCCCCGCTCGGAACATATCTGTCTGTAAATAATGGGACTCGCCCGATATACATACAAACACATAAACAAATGCAAGAATAAAAAGATAAATAACATACAAGATAATCATCATGCCCCGCTTGGCATCGGGCCTGATCTGGTATACATATAAACACATAACACATGTAAGAGTCACGCAGACAACTAGCATCATAATCATGACGAAAATTTAATAGGGGTTGTAATCAACAATGCACAGTTAGATGAAAAAGAGCTATGTACATTTATTTTTAATCCATAACGATATTTTCTTTTTTAAAGAAAAGATATCAACACATTTCTATTTTTAATACAAACAACAAATAAAATGGACAAATTTAGAATGACAAAAAAGCACCTAAAGGAAATGATTCTTCAAAAAATAACTTGTGTTCCTGGAAATATAACACGTTTTCGAATAAAAATAATTTCTGAAACTAACTATATGTATGACTAGCTTTATATGATATATTTAGAGAGATATCATATGTCAATACAAAAAGATTAGTGAAATTGACGAAGAATCAACAACGATGAAATGTATACATCAAATATGGTGTATAAAAAGTGTTGCATGATTAGTAATATATAGTCAATCATATGTTTGTAGATATTTGTATACAATCCAAACTTTTTATTTTTTATTGTTACTGATTTCGTATTTGCTAACATAATTCTTATTGACAATTATTTAAATGTAGTAAACTATTTGTACAAAACAACTAACCGTCTGAAGAAACTAATTGTTGAAAAAAATTATTCGTACTCGTCGCTTGGCACGAGTAAATGGCTAGAGTGTGTGTGTGCGTGTGTATATATATATATATATATATATATATATATATATATATATATATATATATATATATATATATATGGGAAAATCTCATAAAAACCCAACGTATTTTCATCAAATGCTTAAAAAAATAATTATATTATTTTTTAGTGCACAAAAACCCTTATATTTTATAAAATTCTTATTTAAGGTTTTCTATACTTAGAAAAACCTAATCTAAATGATTAAAAAAAACATTATATAATTTTTTATAGTTCATTTAAACCCTCATATTTTTTTTGAAATTTTTTAATCTAATGAGTTGTAACAATCAAAACGTTGTCAATCGAGTACATAACATTTTTAACTGTTTAGGATTTACCGAGCTCAATGCATTAAATGATACATTTTAAAAAAAATATAATGGTTTTAACGTAAAAAAAAATTATATAGTGGTTTTTTTAAGACTTTAATAAAAATATGTTGACTTTTAATAAGATTTTCGATATATATATATATAATCGGGACAGAACGGGTCAGGACGAGAATAACCCACTCCCTACCTCGAACCCAAAATGATTGAGTTTCGGATCCGATAACGACCCGTTACCGGACCCGAAATAATTGAGTTTCGGATTTCCCAGCTTTTTTTTTGCCATCCCTACAGTGTCGGTATTAAAAATTCCCGATAGATTGAAGATATTTTGAACACCTGTAAATAAAATATTCCCACTTCAGTACACGAGGCAGTCAAATGAGGTGTGTTCTTGCTCTGTTTTGAAAGTTTAAACGCCTTGTATGATTTGGTCTCTCAAGAACTGCTCAACCTCCAATCACCGGATATCTCTTCGAACTTCCTTCAACACGAGGACATGCTTGCCTAAATCAGCAAACACCAAGATTATATATTTTTTTCGATTTCGGTTTTGAAACGTAACTGAAAACATCACATCACAAGTACTCGTTCCAACCATTCTTGACGATGGCAGCCAATATATATACGAATTCCTCACCACATTCCCAGGTAGAACTTGTCTGTAACAATGAAATTGATGCTATTATCCTTAGTTATATTGATTTCATTAGTATCAACAGCAACATCAGCGCCAATTTACGCGAGACCCGGATGCAAAGATATGTGTGGGGGTGTCCGGATTCCATACCCATTCGGAATCGGGTCAGGGTGTTATATCAATGAATGGTATGCCGTTGATTGCAACTTATCAACACCATACCTTTCTGCGATAAACAACCTGAGACTATTGTCTTTGAATCTGGAGAATCAAACGATGGCTGTTAATGTCTCAATGAATTCGAATTGTGCAGACACAATCCGGAACAACAGTCAGATCTTGAGCGTCGACTTGGGTGATAGCCCTTTCCTCTTTTCTCGAGAAGATAACAAATTCACTGTCGAGGGGTGTGGAAATGCAGTTATCTTGGAGCAAAATAACTTGGTCACAGGGTGTTCGACGATATGCCCAAACCAAACTATCAACCCAAGAAACAATTGTTATGGGATCAATTGTTGCCAAACCACGATTCCTTACTATCTTAAAACATACACCATCGATACTACACGCTTGCAAAGCCAGGATTCGGGTGGAGTTTGTGGGTCTGCGTTCCTGGTGGATGAACAAATGTACTCTTTTCGCAAGTTTTCAAGGCAATCTGCCATTGTTGGCAACTCCTTTGTTCCAATTTCACTTCGGTGGACTCTAAGACTAGAAGAAATCGGTGAAAGTGATTGTTCTTCAATGGTAAGAGAGGATCTTTATCTGGGTAATGGTACCAACATTGAATCTTACAAATGTACTTGTAAGCCAATTGAAGAAGGAAGCCCGTATTTAACCAATGGATGCCAAGGTACGCATTCTATTTCACTAATCAATCTTTATTTCCATTTAGCTACTTTCAAATTGTTGTTTATAGATTATAACTAAAGGTGTTCGTTTTTGGACCATGTGATATTCAATTTTTACTTTTGTTTGTTTTAGCTGTTGGACCATGCGCCACGTGTATCAATGGATGCGTGCAAATTAATGGGACAGGGAATTTCACATGTCTTCCTACTCAAGCTAGAGGAAAATCATCAACGACTGGAGTTATTCTAGGTAAAATCACAAGCCATAAGTTACTCCTTTTATGTAGAAAGATTCGACTTAAAGAGAAAAGTGTTGGTTTTCTGTAGGTGTTAGCATAAGCATCGGGGTACTACTTCTTACAGCAACCACCTTCGCTTTATACAAACTAATCCAAAAAACAAAAGACAAAAGACAAAAAGCACGATTTTTCAAACGAAACGGAGGCCTACTACTAAAACAACAAGAAACTACAGACGAAGGATTAGTCGATAAAACCACACTTTTCACTGCGAAAGAGTTAGAAAAAGCAACCGACCACTTCCACGAGAATCGAATCCTCGGTAGAGGAGGCCAGGGAACTGTCTACAAAGGCATGTTAACCGATGGAAGGATTGTAGCTGTGAAAAGATCAAAAATAGTAGACGAAAGCCAATTAGAACAGTTCATCAACGAGGTGGTTATCTTATCGCAAGTCAACCATCGGAACGTGGTCAAACTTCTCGGATGTTGTTTGGAAACCGAAGTCCCTCTTCTTGTATCTGAATTTGTATCGAATGGGACTTTATACGAACAAATTCACAATGAAACGGACGAGTTCCCGATGACATTAAACACACGGTTACGGATCGCAACCGAGATCGCTGGAGCTTTAGCGTATTTACATTCGGCTACTTCAATTCCGATATACCATCGGGACATTAAATCGACTAATATACTCATGGATGACAAATTTCGAGCGAAAGTTTCGGATTTTGGGACTTCGAGATTCGTAGCAATTGATCAAACACATTTGACGACGTTAGTGAAGGGGACTTTCGGGTATTTGGATCCGGAATATTTTCAATCGAGTCAATTTACGGAAAAGAGCGATGTTTATAGTTTTGGGGTTGTTTTGGTTGAGCTTTTGACGGGGGAAAGGCCGATTTCAGTGACGCGAATTGGTGAGCATAGAAGTTTGGCGACTCATTTTATGTTGGCTATGGAAGAAGGTGAGGGGATGGGGGTTTTTGATCGGAGGATTGTGGAGGAGGGTGGTCGGGTTGAGGTTATGGCGGTGGCTGAGCTGGCGGTGCGGTGTTTGAATTTGAACGGGAAGAATAGGCCTACGATGAAAGAAGTGGCGTTAGAATTGGAAAGAATTAGGGCGAGTTATTTACCATCTGGAAATGGTGTTGGGAAGTTGAAGTACAATGGTGGAATGGAAGAAGAAATGATTTTGTTCTCGTATGATGATGATGATGATATACCATCAACAAGTACTTATTGATTAAAATGTTTGATTTACTTGAATTATTTATTATTATTATTATTATTATTATTATTATTATTATTATTATTTATTTTTTTACATTTATTTCTTGTTTATTATACATAGGAAACCACTTTAATTATGCTCTTTGTGAGCTGTTGTATTTCTTATTTATATCATATGAACTTAGAGATCTTGCTATGGACTTTCTAAAACATTTACGTTGTGTTTCTTAATCTCTTATATTCTGCTCATGTGTGTGAGGTTACTTGTTTTTGTCTTCCCCTTAATAACATGCGGTGGTGCATTCAAGCATATGTTAGTTAGGACATTTGGGTTAAAGCTACCGAATTGTTTGTATACACGTTGATGCAACTAGGCTTGTGATGTCTTGACCCAATACAAGACAAAGATGTACAGTTGAAGGCAGAGGTTAAAAGTCAATGCCTTATGCTGTGTGCAACAAATAGTCATATTGAGTTGGAGACGAAAGGTATGACCAAATTACAAACATGTGTCAGCAAGCTATTTGCGAGCCTTACCATCTTGAGGTTGAACTAGACGATAGGGAGGGTAAGGTTTTGATATACAAGAGCGAGGTTGGATGTTAAGGAGAGTTGTAAGATGTTGAGCATGGATAATAAAATGCTTTTTGATAGTTAAGTATCTAAGGTTGTTGATTATTAGTATGTATTGGTGTTAAAAATCTAGTGGTGTTGATGATTTAGTATATAGTAGTGTTGCTGGTTTAGTATCTAGTGGTGTTGATAATTAGTATCAGATGATGTTTATGATCTAATGCGTATCTAGTTGTGTTGATGATTTTGTATCTAATGGTACTGTTAATTTAGTATCTAGTAGTATTGATCATTTAGTATCTAGTGTTAAGTATCGGGTAATGTTGTCAATTTAGTATCTAGTGATGTTGATGATTTAATATCTATTGTTGAGTATCTAGTAGTGTAAATAATTTAGCGGTGTTGATGAGTTAGTATCTAGTGGTGTTGATAATTGTATTAATCATTTACTATCTAGCGTGCTAAGTATCTAGTAGTGTTGACAATTTAGTTTCTAGCGATGTTGATGCTTTACTATCACTATGTAGTGGTTTTGATGATTTAGTATCTAGCAGTGTTGAGTATCTAGTAATGTTGATGATTTAATATCTAGTGATGTTGATAATTTAGTGTCTAGTAGCGTTGACTATTTAGTATGTAGTGGTGTTAAGTATCAAGTAGTGTTGATGATTTAGTATCTAGTAGTGTTGATAATTTGCTATCTAAGTGGTGTTGAGTATCTAGTGATGTTGTTGATTTAGTATCTAGGAGGTTCGAATGATATTCACACATGTACAAAATGATTTGTCTTGGATGTTAATAAAACCACATCAAACGTAATTCCCCCTTAAAAAAACTTTCGACATATAAAGATTACATAAATTTCCCTTGGCTTATTTCGGCTCTTTTGCTTCTTTGGGTGAACATGAAGATAAAATATAACATGAATGGTCTCCAAAAGTTAGAACTACACACATAATTCATAGAAGAAGCAGATAAAGTTTTAGGAAATGAGGTCGAAAGATGATATTGATGTTTACTTAGGATTGTTTAATTTCTTCCATCTTCTTCTTCATCTTGAATTGCAATGTCACAGGAGCACAATCAAGTGGCGTTTCCCCTGAAAATGAAAATCAGTTGGACAGCTACCTTTAGTTCTATTAGAATTTAGAACACTGTACTTCAACTTATTCTTATTTATCACATCAATTAAAAGTAAAAGATGGAAACCAAAACTTATTAGATTTCTTTGGCATTCTAAAATTAATTTAAAAGTAAATGGAATATAGTCATATACCCTGCAAGTTCTTGTAATCCAAACTTGCTCCATTTTCCATGAGTGTGAAAGCTATCTCAGTTTGGTTGAAAACCGCAGCCTAAAATCAACAAATACTGTTAAAATTGAGAAAACAAAAAACACACACAGACACACATTACTTTCTTATTAAGAGAGAGAGAGAGAGAGAGAGGGTGAGAACCAGATGCAAGAGAGATAATCCTTGTTTGTCACAGTAATTTGCATCCACTCCCTACAACAGATTATTTATTTTTTTCTTCAATTTCCCTAAATATGACATCATTTTCTAAAAAAACAATTTGGTACTAAGTATTAAATGATATCTTCCTTAATCCTTACCTCACGAAGAAGCTTTCTGACAGAAAATAAGTCGCCATTCTTTATAGCTTCACGTAACCCCTACCCAAAAAAAGGAATATAAAATGCTAAATTATTCAGTCTTTAAAATGTTATTGTTACCAAAGATCATAATTTAAGAAACTATATGTTCATGGGACTAAATTCAACATGCTAGAAAAAACCCAATTAAGTTTTTGATAAAAAGAAAATAACTCTACATTTTCTAGTTAAGTTTTGGAAAATAAATGTTGATTCAAGTAAAATCATGGATTTTAGAGAAAAATTACGCGTCAATAAATTTACATAAACATTAAACAAAAATGGGTTATGGACTTATATCAAAAGCATATGGGAAACAAGAAGAGAACAAATTCAAGATTCCATACCTCTCCATTAACTTCATAGTTTGCCAGTGGTTTTTCTGACTCAGTGTTGGATGATTGTCCACTGTTGCAAATTATTGTATATGTTAAATTTAAACAAAATTGACTTATATCAAAAGCATATTTTTATGTAATATATATTATTTTGGGAAGTAAAACAAATATGGAGACATATTGGTAATAATTGAGAATGTTTTGTGGCATGTGGGTAAGGTGAAAAGGAGTGAAATCTAAAATTAGGTAGAGAAAAATTAGATTTCTATAAGAAATTGCAGCAAACAGAAGAAAATGTGTATGTGCAAACAATTATAAAAAGAAAATAAATAAATAAATAAATAATATATATACCTGTATTTGCTAGATGAAGAGGCTCTACTCCTTGGTGCTGTGTCTGCTTTCTTTGTTTTTGAAATACTGGGAATTGTGGAAGTGGGGAAGGGTTTAGGCTGCAAGCAAAGCACAAGTCCATACAATAAAAAATTAAAAATCTGAATATTTATGTATATTTGTTTATCGTTTGCTTATTCTAAATATGTATATTGAGCTATTGTTGTTTTTTATTATTCCAATGAGGGTTTTCTGTTTTCTTGATAGAAAAAGAAGAATGGAATGGAATCTTGAATTCCAATTCCATCAGAATCAGCAAAGCCAACACGCATTAAGGTTCTTAGTATGATGCAATTGAAGGTGATTAAAATGAGTATGACTTGCCTGCACAGGAGCCACATCATCATTTGAAGGCACCTCACAAATACATAAAGGCATTCCACACTTGCAATCTACAGCAGCAGTTTGATTTGTATTGGAATTTGAAGGTGTACTAATATCTAGCCTTGAAACAGAATCTGTCACAGAATTTACTCCATTCACAGAAGCAGCTCCATCAGAATTTCCAGTCCTATCGAATGAAAATGTCTAATTAACAAATAAATGAATAAAGAGGTAAATAGTGTAATCAAAATGGTGTCTCAATAAAGTCAGTATAATAAAAAATAGATGCACAAAGTGACAAACTTTAATACTTACCGAGATGCATCATTATAACAATTTGAGCAAACTCTAACAGGTGAGAGGAGACCAAATTGTGGTAAAGCCTGAAAAGAGTCCACAATATCAACTGTTTCAACAATCTTTTAGGACTTATTAGTTATTGATAACAGTAGCTCAAAGAAGTTGTGAGTCTGCATAACATACCATTTGATCTGATGAATGTTCAGCACACAAGGTTCGTCCACAACATCGGCAATGATGCTACATATGAGAAGTATGGTAGGGAAACATGAAGATATGTAAGCATTGATATTAACAAATCTTTTCAAGAAAAAACTGAAGAGGTTTTTATCTTCCACTAAGCGTAGAGTAATTAAGGAGATAGATAATAGTTCTTGAACTTATAAAGAAACTTTGTTGACAGTAATCACTAGGAACAATTTATGTTTATTAAATCTGGAGCAAGCACCATATCAACTTTGCTTCTCGGAATGCATCCTTTTCCGAGTAGGATCCAAGGTTCACAGTTCATCACTTGTAAAGTAATTCCATATAATAATAACAAAGATCCAACACTAAAAGGTACAAGGACACCAAAAACAAATTTCAATAAACAATAAAATTTGAAGCAATATATGAATTATCAGCTAATTTCAATCGAATTATGGAAGATTCAAACGAATACCCGTCGTCTGAAGGTGTTGAAACTGCATTTACAGACGTCGCAGCGTGCAGATTCTTGGAACGGCGGAGGCTCCAATAACATTGTTGACCTAAACTTTCTGATTCTTGATTTGAGTAAGCTTTCCGATCAGCAGGTCGAGAATTATTGTTTGAAATGAGTGTGGATTTATGGTTGAAGAACCGATTTTTAAGTTCAAGAGTGAAATGATCGGAGATATGATATCGATGATGAAAATGGATGAGATGATCGGGTCGCATCCCAATCGACCCGTTTCTTTGGATGATGTCCACTAACTATCATTCTTTTTCTACTTTGGTCCTCTAACTATAAAAGATCTTTAATATATTACATCAACTTTTCTAATATGTTATGTGAGAATGTGAGACATTTTTTTGTCTTTCTTTTTTAAGTTGGCATCATTCAGCAAGCGACAGAGTAACATGATATCTACTAGTTTATGAGTTAGATAACAAAAATTAAACGTTTGCTAAAAATTAATCGATAAACTAGCATGAAGAGGTAAAATATATTTAAAAGAATATATTTTTATAATTATTTAATGATATTTGGAAAATTTTAAAAAGCAAATATGTGTAACTTTTTAACAAATTAGCATATAAACTAGTTTATCAACTTCTTTTTGATTTTTCAAACGTTATAATTTAATAAAAAAACCTTGAAAAATAAATTAATTTATGTAGTGCGTCGGCTTAATTAATCATTTATTAAATAGGAAGATATTGTCAACCATAGTGACAAGTACATCACAATACATCTCAAGGTAAATTGACCATTAAAATCTCAAAATAAGTAAACATCATAAATAATTAAAATTTACGTTTTGGTAAGTAGAAAATAGATTAAGTTAAATGATTTTTAATATACATATGTAAACATATAAAGTTTATTTTTTGGTCATATTTATTTCGATATAATATAAAAAAGTGTATAGCCATTTTGATAAAATAATAATAATAATAATAATAAAATTAAATTCATTTCATCCTCCCCTCTCCATTAAATTCATGGGAACGATTATGACAAAAGTTGAATTCTGTTACATTTGACAACCAAATCCGCTAAAGAAAAGAATCTTGAATTTGCAAATTTGACTCCCCCTTATAAATACCATAGAATGAAGAGGTTATGTTATCGCATCCCACTTTCTTCTACCTTTTTGCACTTTCTTCTACCTTTTTGGGTCCAATTTTTTTAGACAACCTTATAAACACACACTACACTGCTATCAAATCTACACATTTCGTCTGCAGGAGGACTTGAACCCTCAACCTTTGGTTGAACGGTTTCTATCTGTCAACTCCTGATACCGCTAGATCAGTCCAATTTTAGTTTCGTGTTTTGTCATACTATAGCAATATAACTACATAATAAATCTCGATTTCTTACTTCAGCACTAAAAAAATCTTATTAATCGCAAAGTACTAACCTATTCTATGCTAAAAACCGAATGAATAAATAAAAATTAAGAAGCAGCATCATGAAAGGATTCATGGATCCCTGTTTGGTTAGTGCAAAGGCAAGAACAATCTGGTCCAGTGAGTTCTCTCTTGACTAGTCTTTTGTCACGATTTATCATAAGTTTTATAAGCGGAACTTTTAATGAAACTTGTCGCCATATCTCATTCACACTCCCCTTCGGATCTTCATAATCAAAATAGTGCTTTACCTAATCACATTAGCAACACAAAATAGATCATTACAACGATATAACAAAGGCTAAATTCAAGAAACATCAATATACATTTACATACCTTAGTCAACTCTTGTTGAAATTCCAATATTGTCCCTGTCTTCACCCCTCTAAGCAATTTAGCCAAGTATCCTGGTGTAACAGCTGAATCCGTGTCTACAAATACAGCAATTTTCCTGTAGTCGATGACATCTTCAAAGGGTAATTCAATGTAATCACTGATGATAACTGGAATACATAAGCTCACAATAGCATCAAACAGTCGACATGCAGATGGTGTGTCGCCAGCTGGATGTAAACAGAACTTTGAACTATGCATTCCTTGTGTAGCCATTCGCCTACTTTCCCTTGATTGAGTGCCATGTTTTATCACAACATCTTCTTCATTTTCTAGTATTTTAAACAGGGAATCACGAATTTTTCCTCCCTGCAATACCAGAGTTATGAACATAAGAAACAAGAGAGAGAACTGGACTTCAAGATTTCCAGAGTCCATGGATTTCACTTCCATTCTTCTTTGTTTATATAACTATGAACACGTGATGATTTGAGAAACAGAATATATAAAGCAATGTATAAAAGAGACAATGATACATACCTCCTTTCGGTATCGATTTCCCATGAAGAACATCAAATATTTCCGATTTTCCACTCCAATATCTCCTTTATAGGCAGTGATCCGATGTGAATAAGGCAAGATCACATCCTTTACAAATGATGCCTGATTATGACCCAACCTTCCAAAATCTGAAACAAGCAACATCGCATCTTTAACACGATTAACAATATTGTGCAAAGCATTTGGATCCTGGCATATGAATACATGATCCCTCCCATGGTTCCTCTTCCAATACGGTTGCTTCCCCAACCATTCCATCAAATCCTCTTGCATTTCAACATCATTATAATGCTCAACTACCACAGGCCCATCACGAACAGGATTTGCGACTAAGCTTAATGAAGAAAAAAACGGCACATAGAACAAGTCGGCGGAATCTGGATCTAAAACCCTAGTAACATACGCACCAGATCGTTTTGGATTATTCAAATCGGAAAACAGATACCATTCAGCCGCGTGCTGATTTCCAGGGTACTTGAGGCTAGCCTCGTCTTCGTTTTCCAATTGACCTCGTACGATTAAGTAGTTTTTTATCACACCATAGGTGAACTTTCGGGGCAGATCGTACATGTAAAGTTTCACTGATTTTTGGGGGATTTTGCCGATACTATTTTCATGTGTGTGGAAATGTACATTGTTGTATGTATAAGGATAGATAGATGTGTTGAAGAAGGCGTAAAAGACTATGATTAAAAGAACCGTAGCGACGGTTTGTTTAACGATAGATTTTCGACCCATTTTAGTTTATGTAATTGGAATTTGACAACATTTGAAGATATTGGATATTGAGATGATTGTGTGATAATGACGATGGCAGTTGCGGTGGCGATGATAACTATAGCGGTGATCGGCGGCGGTTGTTGTGGCGGAGAAAGGAGAGTTGAGTTGTCTGTTCTGGTGGAAGACTCAAGACTGTAACAATACGCTTTGATTTCGGTTAAGGGGATACCAAGATTTATAGTTTCCGCTTATGACAAGGTATTTTATGATTATAGAAAATAAAATATGAATTTTTCTATAATGTTTATACTTTTTACACCTCCAAAATTCATGTTTATGTTGTTACTCTTCAAAAGTCATATTTTCATTGTCTATATCTACGTTATGAGTCGGTTTGAAAATGATAATTTTGGTTTTGTTTTCTCAAAACTATTGTGTTCAGTTTTCGTGTCGGTTTTTCGATTTCAACCCATGGGTTCATTTTCTTTGACTCATTGTTTTCCTTGGTGCACCCATTTTGCATAAGTCTTATTAAATAATATATATGGTTTTAAACAATACATATCAACTAAATATATTTTAATAAAGATGAAAATTCGTTTATGAATTACCAACTCATGACGAACCATTAATTTGAAACGTTTTAATGATTAATTTTCATACACTTATATTTAAAAAAAAAAAAAAAAAAAAAAAAAAAAAAAAAAAAACTGTATACAATTTAACCATAAATGGTTCGATTTGCATTAAGCCTATTAAGCCTTACATGGCATATTGGCATTTTGATAGGAGTAAATTAATAACTAACAATAATATATTAAATGTATTAAATATATTATATAATATATGGGTCCGTTTTGGTTTTTTGGACCGATTCCACGTATTGGGTCGGTTTTGGTTTTGTGGGTCAATTCCAAATGTTCCAACCGAACCCAATTTGAATTTTCGGTTTTAAAAAATTCAAACCAAAAACCGATGGTTTGGATTTGATTTCGATTTTCATTTTTCGGTTATTGTCAGCATCTTCAATTCCAGGTCTAATCAATAAATGCCCATTTGATGCCTCAAACTACTCTATTAACCTTTTGGATCTAACTCACTCATAAACCATCTTAACCTCCTCCTCGTACGTCTTCAAACACAACTCTATGAGCATATACATGTTATAAAAAACATAAATTTGAAAAGTAAAATTATTACAATGTAACAATATCTGAATAATTAAGATACATAAGAAATCTTGAATTGAGTAAAATATTCAATGTTTACCATTAAACACTTCAAGCGGCCATGTGTAGTACTTGTCATTTGGACTCCATTTGAATTTTCCTTTTCCAAACAATCATTGATGTATTGTGTCCAATCTATTGTTGAAATATCCTCCAAGTGTACTAACTTTTCAAACAAAAAAGTTATAGGAACCATCATTTATGGTTTTGTAAAAGTATTGATGAACACTGTCAAGAAATTCAGTTTAAACATCCAATCAACTTGTCTTGTTCTTTAAGTGGTTGCCATTGTTGAATTTACCATTCAAGAACTGTTTTTTCCAATCTAATATAATTGGGTCAGATCTCCCACACTCAATCAAAATACTAAATTCAGTACCCCGAATGGATAATTCTAGGACTGTAAACGAATCGAATGAACACAAACGAGGGTTTGCTTATGTTCGTTCGTTTAAGTTAGTCAAACAAACGAACGAACACGTAATGATAAACGAACGAGTTTTCTTGTTTATGTTCGTTCGTTTAACAAATTACTTTGTTCATGTTCGTTCGTTTATGTTCGTGAACATATTAAATGAACAAAGATAAACAAACACAATTGAACATAAATGAACATAGATGAACATATAACATAGTAATATAATAAAGAACATTTGAACATATATGAACATAAATAAACATAAACGAATGTAAATGAACAACATAAACATACATTTACGAACATAAATGAATAGATGATGCCATTGTTCATGTTCGTTCGTTTAACTAAACGATCACTAATTTATGTTCATATTCGTTCATTTATTAAAGAAACAAACTTCCCGTCAAACGGATCGTCAAACGTTCGGTTCGTTTATAGCCCTAGGTAATCCTAACATAGCATGAAACAATTTCTTTTATTATAAGTTCCCCATTTTGTAATCTTAATGCCATAAAACCCTTATATTTTCATAAAATGTGTGGTTATGTCTAAAATCCGTTTTTTTTGTTCATTAATG